TTTTTTTATCAATTTGCCATCTCTCTTGAACTTGTCTATACACAAGCCAAGAAAAGTCTGGAGATATTGCCATATCTTAAAAGTGGTACAATGGGTGAAAAGGTTGAAAAGCCCTGGACTAGAAGACCTCCAGGGTCCTTTCAACCTTATTATTCTACATTTTAAGTCACTCAAACAGAGGGTTTTTCTCCATTTTAGGATCAGAAGATTGAGGATCTCCGTCAGTCCCTTAATCGCTACAAGAAGGTGCAGGATATGGTGATTTTGGCTCAAGGGAAAAAAGGTATAGAATCACATTTTGCTAACTGCCCTGTTGTTGTTTTTTTATACATATAGCGGCCACAGTCAGAATTCATAAAAGATAGAAATAGATGAACAGAAAAGGCCACCTCTATAATTAGGGTTTCTCTTGTTACCAGTTGACATCTCGGCATAACGGATAATGCAATATTGTACTAAATTTATGTGCCACCTGATTCCCAGCAGCTCTGGGCAGTTTGCAGTTGTTAAATCATTTAATAAGAAAGAAGACTTTTTTTTAAAAAAAAAAGCAGTACAGCAGAACAGGGATGGCAAAGAAAATAAACTCGGAAGGGAACCTAAAGGGAAAGGGATATCTGGGCACACTGGGGTCCCCCAGTGCCTACACCCCTGTATTCTGCCCTCACTGAAGCTTCTGGATGGTCTTCAAAAGCAGCCCCATGTAGAGCATACCGCAGTGGTCAATCCACAAGGTGACAGAGCACGAGGGACTATCTGAAGCAGGAGTAGGCAACCTTGGCTCTTTTATGACTCGGGGAGTTCAACTCCCAGAATTCCTGAGCCAGCATGGCTCAGCTTGGAAACCTCTCCCTTTCCCCTCAGCATGGCTGGCTCAGGAATTCTGGGAGTTGAAGTCCACGAGTCATAAAAGAGCCATGGTTGCCTACCCCTGATCTGAAGGATTCTTGATCTAAGAAAGGGTGCAATTGACGTTTTCCATAAGTAGGCTCCCGAAAGGAGCTTTAGCAGTTTTTAGTTTTCATTTTTCACAGACACCTGTAAAACATTTTAGACTAACCGTGCTGATAGGAGTAAGGAGTAAGCCTTGAGCATGGTGACAATTTGTATAACTCCATGGCTAGCTCTTGTTCCTGTGGCTTATTCTGATGTATTTCTTTATTTATTATTTTAGTTATTTTGTTAGTTATTTATTCGTTACTTATTATTGCTTATAAATTCTGGTTTGTCGTACAGTCAGCCAGATGTTCAGATTGGATTGGGCATTTTTGTCTATCGAGTCCTTCCCAAGGACCTGAGATAGGCAGATGTTGATGTTCTATGGCAGTGATGGCGAACCTTTTAGAGCAGTGTTTCTCAACCTTGACAATTTTAAGGCATGTGGACTTCAACTCCCAGAATTCCACAGCCAGCATTGCTGGCTGTGGAATTCTGGGAGTTGAAGTCCACATGCCTTAAAATTGTCAAGGTTGAGAAACACTGTTTTAGAGACCGAGTGCCCAAAAACTGCTCCCCACCCCCGATCGGCCTCCCACCCTGCCTGCTCCGCCCTTGCCCACCGGCTGCTCCGCCCACCCGCAGGGCCATGCACCGCCTCCATGGGCCCACTGCAGCAGATCACCCAGGCAGCCGTGCAGTGCCATGGCAGCCACGCCCTCTACCCACACCCCGCAGCATCATCTGCACGCTATGGGGCGCGAGGGCGGAGTCTTGTCCTTACTGCCCAGCGATGTCCTTGGCTGCGCTACTCTGTGCGGGCCGTGCCCAGGGGCAACTCTCGTCCAGGGGGGCTGCTGGTGAGGAGGGGGCCACGGGGGGAGGCAGGGCTGGGGCAACAGTGCGCATGCCCAAAGAGAGGGCTCCGAGTGCCACCTCTGGCACGCGTGCCATAGGTTCGCCACCAGATGTATTACAGATGTTTTTGTAGGATGTAAGCTGATCTTAGTAAAGCTGCCTTTTGCAATTGACGGATGTTGAGTTTGTCAATGCCAAGGGTGTTCAAGTGGTGCGCCAGTTGTTTGGGGATTGTACCCAAGGTTTATAATTTTTTTATGTTATTATTATTTATTATGTATTCTAATTTGAAATTAAAATGCCATTTTACCCCTGCATTTCTTGTTTTTGCCACTTATCTCTCCAATGAAACATGGTTTACCACACCTGGTTAAGTCCCGGTTTGTAGGGTTAATTTCTGACTACCAAAATACAAGAATTGTTCTATTAGGGCACAGCAGAACATACTCCATATTTTCAGATCAGGAAATGCAGCCTACAGTTTAATTCAGAATTCTTCAGCAGTCTTTCTTAATAGAGAATAGAGACCAGAACGTTTCTTTTTAACAGAATAAAGTTGTTGTTGTTATTTTTTTTTAAAAAAAACCTCTTCATGGATAAGAGCAGCTCTTAAGAGTTTGGTTCAGTGGTGGGATTCAGCCGGTTCGCACCACTTCGGCAGAACCGGTAGCTAATTTTTTGTTGCCCAGGCCCAGAATGGACTTCCAGAAGCGGCATCCACACAAGAGAACCGGTTGTTCACGTATTTGAATCCCACCACTGGTTTGGTTGACTACAAACCGTGATCCCAAAGAAGATACTTGATCTATAAATTTCTGATTTTTCTACTCTCAGGCAAGGATGATGAATATGAGGATACTGGGAGTCCAGGATCACTTTCCTCAATCTTGTTAGAACCACAGACTCTAAGCGAAGGGGAGAAAAGTCCATCTTCTACACCGCTCTCAAGTTCTCCGAATCACGAAGACTTGAGGACAAAAAGTTCTGAAGAGGTATTTCAGTTTTCCCCTTCTAGCAGAATAACAAGAGTTGGAAGGAACCTTGGAGGTCATCTAGTCCTTCTAGCAGAATAACAAGAGTTGGAAGGAACCTTGGAGGTCATCTAGTCCAACCCCCTGCTCAGACAGGAGACCCTGTACCATTCCAGACAAATGCCTGTCCAGTCTCTTCTTAAAAACCTCCAGTGTTGGAGTTTTCTGGAGGCAAGGTGTTCCACTGGTTGGTTGGTTGGTTCTCACTGTTAGGAAATTTCTCCTTAGTTCTAGATTGCTTCTCTTCTTGCTTCTTTGATTGATTGATTGATTGATTGAAGGTTCTGAGACATTCTGGGAAATTGAATTGATATCCCTGCCATATTTTTTTTTATAACAAGTTTTATTATTATTTTTGTTTTGTTTTTACATCAGAGTGCTTAGGAAACAGCGTGGTGATGGGGTACTCAGTCATCCAAAAATAAAATCATACATGTATAATTCAGGTTAATTCATTGAAAAAGTCCCTCTCTGTTTCTCTAATTAATATAATACATTCAAATTAATACATTTCTAAATATACTGTTCAAAAAAATAAAGGGAACATTTTAACATGGAACTGAAGGGGTTTGCGTTCCCTTTATTTTTTTTGAGCAGTATAAAATTCAGTCCATCAAAATAGTCAACAGTGACATTTCAACCATATAAATCCAAATCCTGTTTTAGGGCTTTACTATTTTAAAATTACCATATTCCATTTAGCCTTGACTAAACCTCTTATGCTTCGGGTATCCCTCATTTCCCTCATTTCCTAACATAATAATTATATTAAAATAATCATATTATTCCAACAGTATTCAATTTCTTAATCTAATAAGTCATGTATTAATACCACTTCTACCTTTATCACAAACCATTTTCTTATTCTACTACTACTACACAATAATTTTTATACCTAAAATAAAAATATTACTCCCAAAAATACATTTCTAGTATATATTTCAGATATATATTCTATAAATCAATCCACATCTCTAAAAATCCTTTTTAACCCATTAACTGAAATTAAAATCTCATATTTTTAATGGCTTTTAGGGTTTGACGTTATTGAACGGTCCACTTGATTAGACAGTATTTAGCAGCCATGAAGCTTCCACCAGTAAGGAATAATATTCACAGTCATTATAGCATTAGAAACTTAAAGCCTTTCTCATTGCTTGTTTTATGTTTTATTTGTTCTTCTATCTCAAAGGTGCTTTTTCAAGAGGCAACTGGACTTTCTTGTTTTTCTTTGAAGATGTTTTGCTTCTCATCCAAGAAGCTTCTTCAGCTCTGACTGGATTCCCCACCATCCAGTCAGAGCTGAAGAAGCTTCTTAGATGAGAAGCGAAACATCTTCAAAGAAAAACAAGAAAGTTCAGTTACTTCTTGAAAAAGCACCTTTGGGACAACCATGATCTGGATGACTAAGACTCTCCATAGACATTTGTTCTTCTGGCTCTTGCCTCAGTTTCTCTTGCGTCTGGTCCGGTAAGTTGAAGACCAAGTTAGATATCAAGGAGGGACAAATGTCCACAGCTCCATAGTTATCTGCTGTTTTTGCAAAGTACGGTTTGTGCTCTATAAGTGTTACAAGGTTATCAGCCATTTGTATCTATTATTCCTATTGAATGTGGAATTGGGTACCCTGGATTGTTTTAGAAAAGGGTAAAATAGACATGACAAGCTGCATTTGAAATTTAGTTTTAGAATCGAGATGGGATTGTTTAAAGTGCATGAGCAATTTTAAAAAATCACCTTTCCATGCATATACTGTACAAGTGCTTTGTCTAATTTAATTTTGGATCCTTAGTACTATATTTTTTTTTAGATTTTTTTGTCTTGGAAAGCTTTTTAAAATCCAGGAAGGAATACTGTTTACAGTGCTGTGAATGCAGATTTTCAGATTTAGGACATTTCAAAACATTAAATACTATTAGCTTCAAATTAGATAAACACTCTAAAGAAGATCATTTGAAGCAGTGGTTCTCAACCTTTTTAATGCCGTGACCCCAACCGTCGTAAGTCGAGGACTAAACCGGTCGTAAGTCGAGGACTACCCAACCGGTCGTAAGTCAAGGAGTTTCCCTGCCCGGGAGCGCCGCGCATACGTGGTTCCGCCCCCTGTGCCAGCCGAGGCGTAGCTGGCAAGCGGCAGAGACGGAGCAGGCCGACCACCAGCTGGCCCAGCCCAAGGGAGGTAAGGCACCCGCCGGAAAAGGGGGAAAAAAATGGCGGACAAAAAAAAATAGCGGACAGCCTTGCTTGGCGACCCCCATGAAATGGTCGATCGACCCCAAATGGGGTCCCGACCCACAGGTTGAGAACCACTGATTTGAAGGGTTCAAGTTATGGAGCTTGTGTTGTGCTTCTGTAGTTGTCTAATAAATGGGTGTCTATTGTCTCTTAATGCAAAATATAATGTTCTTCTCTTGTAGACGTCCATCCAGCTCCACACGAGTGTCTTGCAAGTTTCCCTTCCTTCTTTTTCACAGTCATTCAGACATTCAGAAGAACAGACTGATAAAGGAAACGTCCCATCCAAGATAGAAATTGCATGTGAAAACAGGTAGAGACACTTTTATGCAAAAGTCACTAGGCTTTTCATGACAAAAATTGAACCCAGTAAATTTAGGATCGATAGACTTCGTTCATAAAGTGAGATCGTGACCAAATAAACATAATATGGAGTTAGTTATTGGAGCACATAAATATCAAATTTGGTAATGTTTGCTGTTTCCAGTAACTGACAGGCTGAGTCGGCGGAAGATGTCAAATAATTTTTGAATAACTATAATTATTATTATCCTGCTGAGTCCTAAACCAAATCCAATGATTTTGATAGGCTTGTCTAGATCTTAGAAGGACAATATTTTGGCAGTGTGAGCAAAAACATCAAGAATTCAAACAAGGGGGGGGGGGGGGTTGGACAAAATTGAGTAGCATTTAGCCAGAGATTTCTTTCCTACAATATTTTGTGGGCTTCTCCTAATTTCCCTCAAAACCCCCTATGGAAATTTTATTTCAATGCAATCCCATAGATTGCTGTCAAATTTAATTTGTAGTCAGCGAGACCTGACCACATTTATGTTCTTTCTGGAAGAAATAATACTTCTATCAGAAACAGTACTTTTATTGGTAATAATGCTATTTATTAGATTAGGCAATATTTGTAAGGCTCTCTTTATTTTCTTTCTTTTTTTTCTTCTTGCAGTGAAAAACACCCAGCGGTGGCTTCCATAGAAACCCAGCTAAGTGATACAAAAATGTAAGTATCATATAAAAATGTAAATCTGGGCACATCCAAACCCAAAAACTATTAAAACTGTTTTGCAGAAGTGCCTTCGTGTTGTTGATAGGGGGGTCCACAGAGAGGATGGGATCAAAAGAGTGGCTGCCATTTTGATTTTTTTGACCTTTCCCGGTGCCATTTTGATTTTTTTGACCTTTCCCCCCATGCTCTTATTTCCCTGCGGCTCTTTCAGTTACTCTAGCTTAAGTTTTCCTTTTCTGTTACAGCATGAAGCATCTCCAAGCAAGTTGTATAGCACCAGGGATTTATCGAATTTTGTAATACGTTCCTAAACAATTTCTGGCTAGCTTTTTGGCAAGGCAAAAGAGAAAGATTTGATTTCCAGTGCTCCTAAATTAATCCTGAGCACCTGTGCTTCAATTAATGAAGTTACTAAATGCTTTGCTGAATTGAGGTGTCTATTTTTGGTAACCATTTCTAACCAATAATTATTTGGCAGTAAATACGTGAGACAATATTCTTCCCACAAGCTTGATCAAGTAGAAATGGTAGGCTGAGAAGGGGATGCGGTACCAAACTGAAATCTACTTCTTGATACTCGGTGATTACTAAAAGTGCAGGGAGTCCCTGACTTATACACAGTTCATTTAGTGAGCGCTCAAAGTCACAACAGCACTGAAAAAAGTGACTGAAAAAAAGTGACTTATGACCCTTTTTAACAACAACAACAACAACAACAACAACAACAACAACAACAACAACAATAATAATAATAATAATAATAATAATAATAATAATAATAATAATAATAATAATAATAATAATAATAATAAAGTTGGAAGGGATCTTGGAGGTCATCTTGTCCAACCCCCTGCTCAGGCAGGAAACCTTATACCATTCCGGACAAATGGCTGTCCAGTTTCTTCTTAAAAACTTCCAGTGTTGGCGCATTCACCGCTTCTGGAGGCAGGTGGTTCCACTGGTTAATTGTTCTCACTGTCAGGAAGTTTCTCCTTAGTTCTAGGTTGCTTCTCTCCTGGATTAGTTTCCATCCGTTGCTTCTTGTCCTGCCTTCAGGCGCCTTGGAGAATAGCTTGACTCCCTCTTCTTTGGGGCAGCCCCTGAGATACTGGACCACTGCTATCATGTCCCCCCTCGTCCTACTCTTCATTAAACTAGACATATCCAATTCCAGCAACCGTTCCTTATATATTTTCACCTCCAGTCCCCTAATCATCTTTGTTGCTCTTCTCTGCACTCTTTCTAGAGTCTCAACATCTTTTTCACACTTATGACTATTGTAGCACCACATAATCACGTGATCAAAATTCAGACACTTGGTAACTGACTCACATTTACCATGGTTGCAGCGTCCCGGGGTCATGTGATCCCCTTTGGCGACCTTCTGACAAGCAAAGTCAATGGGGGGGAAGTCAGATTTCAACAACCGTGAAACCGTGTGACTAACTTAAGAACTTAACAACCGTCGCCAGAAAAATCCTAAAACGGGACACTCAACAAATGTCTCACTTAGCAACAGAAATTTTGGAGTCCATTGTGGTTTTCAGTCAAGGACCACCTGTATTTCAGTGGTGTTTGGAGAAGGAGCTTGGGAAGGAGAGACAGAAATTGAAGTCCGATGGACTTGTTTTGGAGAGAGTTTATCAAATTATCTTTACATGTATTGTAGAGAGAGGAAGACATGTTTTGAAACGAAGATGCTCCTATCCCGGAATCTAGTTTTGAAACCAGAACAGGATACTCCGATCTTATCAGAAGTCTTCCAATCTTTTAAAAGGATCTTCTGATATGTCTTTTACGGGAGGAGAACTCCTTTCAATTTGGGACCTCTTGAGATAAAGTTGATTTTATTTTTGTTGTCTTTGAGACAAACTTGATTCCTGGACTCCAGACCAGCCCTTGCAATTTTTCTTAGCAACACTTTTTTCAGAAACGGTTTGTCCTTACCTTTCTTCCTAGGGTTGAAAGGGATTAACCAAAATCACTCAACTGGTTTAATAATAATAATAATGATAAAGTTGGAAGCCACTTCCGGTGGCAGGCGATTTCGCTGGTCGCAGCTGTTTGCTGCCTCCCGCCTGTTTTGCGTAAAAGCCGGTTTGACAGCTAGCATCTGCTGTCAAACGGCTTGATACCTTTCCCCTGGGCATAAGGGGATCGGTGAGCTGCCCGGGGTAGGAGTTGAGTTCCCGAGTCGTCCTATATGGACGATGTAGGTGAGAACT